CTAGTTAAGTAATTAAAAGTTTGTTCCTATGCAGTGAGAAATTATTCAAATTTAGAAAAAATATAAATATTTACATTCTATTATTATTAAAAACCCAATTAAAAATGCGACCAATGAGTGAAAAAAGTCATTGAATGTCAAACTGAAGACTTTCTTAACTCAATAATTATTTTTTTAATTAAAGTTTTTATTATTTTTTATTATAGAATAGTAAGACGGACAACGATTTTTCATGTAAGCATATTTAAAAACTGTTTTTAATAAAGACACCTATTTTGAGCAACATTTTTGACTTCGCCACATATCAATAAGCGAAGTTTTCAAGATAATGGGCTTGGTTCCTCGCAAGAACCACTAGTATAGTAGAGTAGAGAGTACCACAATTAATAATTTTACGCCGTTTTGCTACTACATTCCTCGTAAGAACCCATAGTATAGAAGTGTAGAGACTAAATCCATCCTGTCGTATTTAGGTAATTTAATAGAACTCTTGCCTTCACCGATGAACAGTCTGATAAACTTGCAAAGAAGTAACTTCCTAAAAACTTATTCCTTCTGGATGCTAAAGCTAGGCATTCACATAGAAAATGTATTATGGTGTCTTTTTTCTGCAGGTTTTCACAACTTCTGCAGTGAGGATTATAAGGAAAACGCAGTTTCTCTGCGTGGGTTTCTATACACTAGTGACCAGAAAGAACTGCAGTGAGTCTTGCAGTGTTTACGTGGTTTGTTTTGTTGAGTTTTAAGGATCTAATTTTTTTATAGGTGTGCCATGTTAACCTGGAAGTTGCACATCACTTAAGTGCTTTCCATTTGTTATTGGCAAGTTGAAGAAAGTAGAAGTAGGTACTTTTGTAAATTGTCCGCCAGGGACACATCCAGGGAAGCACGAGAGCGGGTTTAACTGTTAGCTTTCTTGTTTTCTTTGATGTTCTTATGTCGAGCTCGTCGTTTTTCTTTCGGGCTTTAAATTGTAAAATTTTTACATGATAACTAAAAAATATTTTCAGATGGCGCATCTTCTTGTTGTTGCTCGCCTTTTGCGAGATCAATGTACGATTTGTCATTATTACTTTAGTAGTTGGCTTCAGATCGGGAAGTAGTTTCTTGTTAGTGTATTCAATGTAAGTAGCTTACAACTTTAAATGTCGATAACTCGAGTAGTAAAAGTTTCGACTTCATCAGATGTTTTTTTAGCTTTGTGCAAATGTTTGAAATTGTGTACGTAATTCAATGTTGATTTTTATAAAGCTTTCGGAAAGATAGGTGCCGCAATTTGCTAAGAATTGTCCAAAAACGACAACGGCTTCATCATTCAAAACATTGTTTAGAAATGTTTATGCACAATCTAATTCACTGTGAGCTTGTAGAGTCGAGTAGTGACAATTGATGAAACATGAATCTATAACTTCACACCTGAGAGAAAACAACAAGGCAGTATGGATAGAGCCTCAATAATCGGCTGGAAAAGTTTTGGCTTCCGTATTTTGGGATTCAAGTGAAACTATTTTTATAGACCTTTTGTAAAAATAAAAAAGGAAAAACAACATCAGATTATTATTGCATATTAATCGATCGATTGAATGAAGAAATCAAGTAAACACGACTCCATTTGTCTAAAAAAAAAATTTCGTTTTTTTAGGATAACGAACATGTTCAAACGTCAATGAAAACCATGGTAAAGTTAAATGAATTACGGTAAGAATTGCTTTCTTACCCACCGTATTTTCCAAATTTGGCTCCCAGCGACTAATAGCTGATTCCAAACTCGAAAAGATAATTTCAGGAAAAGAGATTTGCATTAAATAATAAAGTAAAATAAGAAACTGAGCTATATTTTGGAGGACTTGATAAATCGTATTATTTAAATAGTATCCAAATGTTGAAAGATCATTGGACACGATTTGTCGAGCTTAAAAGAGTCTTTATTGAAGCATGAAATATAATATTCCAAAAAAAATTCTTTTTTATTACTTTGACCGGGTATCAATCCATCTAGTATGTAAGTTCCTGAGTCATTCATCATTTCCTACATCATTAGCTGTTTATCAAACAGTTCTAAGTCTATTAGACTCAGAGATACGAACTGCTCTACCCGTTTTTGATTCTCATTTTGCTACTTTTAGCACTTTTTAGACTATAAAATCGAAAGTATCTCAACAAATTTACAACATGGTTTCTATTAAATGTGTGGTGAAGAAAAAAACCATTTAGGTTACTAAACTTCTAGAGAACTTTCTTAAAAGATTATTAACAGCATGTGAAGAACTGGTATATTACATCCAAACATTAGCTTCAGTGACAGAACAATTAATATATATAAATTTTCAATGATCAATATAGCACTGTAGAGTTTTTTTGGAATATGTATTTGGTATCGGGAAGATCTCTACAAAAATAAAACGCAATTTATATTACTGGTGAAAAACTTGCCTTAATATACCAATGTATGTAAGTGGATTCAGAAAAAGGTAATGTTCGGAGAACAAAATAGTACTGTGTCGTGTTGAAACCTGTCTGGATATATGCTTTTTGGAGCACTACAAGTACATCTAAATATTGCAAAAGTACCAATCTATAAGACGGTATAGAGTCGTCAAAGTTCCATAGTTTATCATACGACTCTATTATTAAGTAAATTACGTTTGTTAGTAAAAAAAATCTTTTAATGTAACTTAATGTAAAAATATATAGATATGCATCCCGAAATTATAAGAAAGCTTTTCCAAAATAGCCGTATTGGTAACAGGCCTCAGACCTATCAAGAGTTAAAGAAAAATTTAAATTAGGCATTATAAGTACACAACCAAAAGTAAACTCAAATGTAGATTTATAACAGTTGATTAAACGTGGATCTTCTGTGGTCTTTAAGTAACTGAAGAGTAATCTTGGCAGTGAATTAAAAAGATATAGTTGATTGTGATAAAGTCATAATTAGATAATTTTAGCTGGGATTCCAAAAATCAGTTGCTGATTGAAAGTCTCTAAAAGACCTTCGTCATTTTGACTTTCCATAAAGTGACTTTTGTACATCCAATAATGATTCAATATTCACTTGTGAATCTTCACTGTCTTAAATGCAAAAATTTTTGTCTACCAACTTTAAAACATTTATGGGTTGTTAGCTACGATTTATATAGTCAAATAGCAAACTTTAAATTATATATATAATGTCTTGGATGACAGTACTGTTTGACATATACCAATTAAATGTTGCTGAGAAATAGGTTCTTGAAATAGATGTCCTTTCATTTATTGGTTATTATGATCTGTACATAAATTTTTAAATTGAAAAACGGAATTTGAATCCTGTAATATTTATAGCATAGACTTATCTGCTAAATTCCTTAGCCAACGTCGCACTTGATTTGCACTGATAAATACTTGGAGATCTTACAAAAGAAGTTATTATATTTCAAAATCAATTGAACAGAATAACGTCAATGTATTAGAATATCTTTGACACTTAAAAAAATAGTTGGATACTTACAAAGGAATGCTTGGAAAGCGATTTGGATACATCAAAATTGAGGCAAAGTTTGGATTAGAGCATATAACACTATGAGGTGAATCATTCCGGACTTAATTGAAAAAAAAAGTTAATACTGGTAGAGAGTATATTGACAGAGACAAATGGAATAATGTTGATCCATTATAATATATATTCAAGATAGTATAAGAAACACTTGTGGAAGTATGTTTGGAAGGGAACTTAGAAATGTTAAAATTGAGGTAAAGATTGGAAAAGAGTAAATCCCATATATGAGATGATTTCAAGATTATATACCATATATTCAAGATACAATAAGAAATTTGGATACTTGCGGATGTGTGTTTGAAAGGGATCTTAGAAATGTGAAAATTGAGGTAAACGAGGTGAAGCATTTTAAGATTTGGTTTAAAAAAGTATAGTAACACTGGATGATAATATATTGTTTTAATGACTACGATGAAAAGCATATTGAAACTTTAATTTAAAGCAGGGCTGTCTAGAGCAGATGCGATCGCGGGTCAATAACAATCACTATACGGATTGGAGGGCCGCAGTTACAAATATATACGTTCATACCTGTTTTTGATAAAAATAAAAATACGGTTATAATGTTAAATTTAGTTTTATTAATTTATCACTTTAAATTAATTTATTTAGTATAACATAAGAATAAAATAATGTGGTTTTACCAGTACACCAAAAGAGAATTTGCGCAATTGTAGTAGACTTGTCGCGGAGTCGTACAAACATTAGCAGCGGGCCGCATGTGGGTCGTACTTTGGACAGCCCTGCTTTAAAGAATATATATGTCAAGTTCAAAGTAGCGCTGTTGATTGTCGGTGAGGATCAACATATCAACTGTTTGTTTTTTAATTGTTGTTGGTGTCTTGACTTGACAACTTTTTCACTCCATTATTACATGAGTTCGCTGTTGCAGCTGTTGCCGTTGCATCCTGGTATTATTAATAAATCTTGTGATTTTTTTTTTGGTTTTTTAAAACGATCTTGAAGATCAAGGTTTCGTATCCGTACAGGTTTACAAATTAGTCTGTCCGTCCCTCTGTAATAGTATTTGTCTCTTTCATGTAACTGGAAGTATAATTTACTTTACAGAGGTTAGCGAAAAGATGAAGAGCTTTTCAAGATGAGAAAAAAATAAATTTTAATACGTTTTTGAAATACATCGGGCAATCTACTACCATTTATAGTGATATTTATTGAATTTCATTTAGCATGCTTTTAGATTCCTTTACGGAAAAATGCAATTATATTTGGAAAATCGTTCAAAAATTTAGTTCAGAGCGAATTTTAATTAAAAACTTGGAGGAGTTTTTTTTTTTTTTTGAATTTTTGAGTATCTTTTTTAAAAGTAAATATTTCGTTTGCTGAGCTAAAATTTAAAAAATTTAACTATCATCTCTTGCTTCGTTACTGTTTGTTTTACGAGTGTCGTTGGTGTTCTTTTTTTACAATTCGAAGGTGTTTATAAGAAGACGTTCTAGTACCTGTTTTCTTTATTCACCTAAAGATTGCCGCGCAGTTTGGACGTGTTTTGAGTCGCGTTTAAAAAATTTACGACCACTTAATAACTAACTAACGAAATTAATTAAATAAAAACATTAAATTTACTTACAAAAAAAAAAAAAAAACAAAGAAAAATACGAAGTAACGACTTTTACAGAATTTATTGAAACAGTTCCGAACGAGCATTTAGAGCGGTTGTGTGAAAGATACTTTCAATTCAGTGTAAGCCGTTCATTATTTTTATTTATTTTGCGAATTGTATCTCAAAGACAAAATAGCTATTTTTTTTTATAATTAATTAATTAGTTTTCGGTAATAATCTTTTTGGGAAGAATAAATTTCTGTTATTGAATCTTTTTAAATATCTGTGAAATGTTTTGCTTGTTGCGTATGGCGCACTTAAATCTTATCTCAGCGAAAAATTATTATTATTGAAAAGACAACATTGAATTCAGGTTCAATGTTAAATTTCGTACGTAGTCGCTGCTCTTCTGCTCCTCTGCTATTTCAGATACTTTATGCTCAACGTTTTGATTAGTTTTGCAAGCGAAACTTTATGTTGACGTTGTTTTTATATTTCGAGTTGTGCGATTCAGCAGACGATTGCGGCTTTCTGAGTTTAACGATTCGTAGATACTTTTTTTTGTTTTTGCTAAGCGGGCGTTAATTTTATTTACAAGCCAAAAGTATTGTACAAACAACAATAACAAACAAACTAATAAAAAAGAAAAAAACTGTAAAACTATTGAAAAAAAAAAAATTGAAAAATAAAAATTAATTAAAAAACTTAAGCTTTTAAAATATTCAAATCAAATTTTTCTGTTGTTAATTTCCTGTTGTAGTTTTTTTATTTTTAAGTCATTTAAACAAACTAATGTGAGTAAAACTAAAATATTAAAATTATTGCAAAAAAACAAAAAAAAAAACAAAAATAATAAAATAATAAAAATAAAAAAAACTAAAAGAAACAAAAGTGAATAAACTCTGATTTAAGTAACAAATAATCTTAATTTAATTTAAATATAAATTTTAATTTACGTTGAACATTTTATTAAAATGTTTAATAATTTATAATAAAATAAAAAAATAAACAAATAATATAAAATAATAATATAATTAAATAATATATATTCATATATATTTTATTATGTTGAAGCTATTTGAGCCAGTGCACTTGAGCACTTTTACTCTTTCTTAACTCAAGGTATTTTCAAAACCCCTCTATACGCCTTGACTGGATTATTGTTTATCACTCCATCGCACTAAGCAATAATTGAACTCAGATCTGCATACCTCTCCGATGCCTGTAACCATTCTGACATTTGATAACGCGGTGTTGGTAAGTCTGTCAGTTTTCGCAAATAATTTCAGGGCTCTTTCCTTTATGTACTTTTTGATGGGATCAATCTTGTGGTCCCTTAGGATGTCATTCGTCCTAATGTACCATGGTACTTTGAAAAGTCTTCTCAGAGTCTGGTTTAGTGCAATTTCTAGCTGGCGAATAGTAGTGTTTAAAGCTACACATCCATATATATATTTTATATATATATATCAAATATAAAAAGGGATAATAATGAAAAAATTTGACTACATAAAATACTCTATAATTAAGTGACTTTTTCTGGCTAACCAATTCGGATATGAATAAAAATATATATAAACATATATACATAAATTTTTAAATTGAAAAACGGAATTTGAATAGTGTAATATTTATAGCATAGACTTATCTGCTAAGTGACTTTTTCTGGCTCACTAGTTCGGATATAAATAAAAATATATATAAATATATATTGAAATATTTGTATGAAAAATTATTGTTAACATATAAGAAAGTACTTATATAGAAATAAAAATCATATTATAAAAGATATATTATAAATATTATAAAAAAATATAAAAGTGAAAAAATTTAACTAATTAATTTACTTTTTTTAAATTAATCAAATTTTGGTGTTACGATATTACAGTTCTTGAGATTGTCAAATATTAATTATCAATGATCTGTAGATCATGGATATTGGAATAATCGAATGAAAAACGATTTATGAAACTTAACCGTAGAAATAAATTTTATGATTAATTGATTAATTAATTAATGTGGCTTAATAGATAAGAAAGTACTTATATAGAAACATAAAACATATAAATATTATAAAAGACAATGAAAGTGATAAAATTTAACTACTTAAATCAGTTTTAAATTAATTAATTAAAATAGTTAATTAAATAATAAATTAATATGATATTACAATTTCTGATATTGTCAAATATCCAATATCAATGATTTGTAGATCATAGATATTGGAATAATCGATTTAATGACGATTTATGAAATTTAACTGTAAAAATAAATTTTTAATTAATTAATTCTTTGGCTGATCAGACTGCAGCTCCGGGGAGCTGTCAAATATCCATTATCAAAGAACTGTAAAACATCAATATTGGAATAATCGATTAAATGACGATTTATAATATTTAACTGTAAAAATGAGTTTTTAATTCATTGATTCTTTGGCTGATCACACTTCAGCACCAGAGCTTGTCGGAATATTCATCAATAAACTTTAGATAATCTATATTGAAATATTCGAATGAAATATTATTGCTCATAATTATATAGATAATATAGATTTTGTAGATATTAATAGTGAGAAAATTTAACTAATAAGTAATAATTTGTATAAAAAATGATTGTTTACATATAACATAAGAAGGCAAATATACAGAAATATGGTCTATGTTCTTCCTTCTCAATCCTTTGTTCTTGATAGACCGTAGTTGGTGTAATGGTATATGTATAAATATATACTAAATATAAAGAGGCAGGGATAATCTTAACTTAAAAATTAATTACGAAAAATAAATTGTTTATTAAAGGATATTAATTTGTTAGTTTAGTTTCTTTACTACTATCTCATGCTCGTCTTTTATAGTTAAAATATATTCTTTGTTATGAATGTAAATACTTTTAAATAAAATATATATAAAGAATTATGTAAAAATACTCTAAAATCGTAAATAAATTAATAGAGAATTTTTGAGAATGAATTTTTAATTTAATTAATGAATTCATCAATTAATAATTAAAAACAAATCTACTAAAAATTTGAGTTAAATAACTTGGTAGCACTTTCGTATAAGAAAATACCTCATATATTCTATTCTATTCTATTCTATTCTTTTTTATAAGATGTGATCAAAAACTAAAGAGTTTAAGTTTTGCAAACAGTGCAAATACATAAAACTTTCAGGGCTTGCCTCATTCCCTTCAAAGTAGCCTATCTTTAATATTATTTACTTACGGTACATTTTTTCTCTGTGATTGTCATTGATAGGCGTGTTAGAGCTCTCCAGAGCTCAAGTCATGTTCAATGTCTTCTTGATTTTTCTGAAAATATTTATACTATTCATAAACCAATGGTTGTAATAGGTCAATATAAGCCTATTTTGTATTATTTGAAATGGTTTTTAACATAAACCTATTTAACACAAATGTTTTGGTCCAATATTTTTTTTAAATGTAGATCTTGTTATCAGCTCAGCAAGTGTACACTAGGCATTGTAGGTGTCTTATAGTTAATATGTATATTAATAGCAGTGCAACCGATACATGAAAAAAATATTTGACTTAACGAATAAGATAATATTGAGCGAAAATTTATATCTTATGTTTTAACTATAAACATTTTTAAAACAGAGTATAAAGAAGCTTAATAATGTCACTTTTAAATATTTTAAAAGTTTGCTCTCATCTGATTAATTGACTTTTGAAATAGTGAAAAAAAACATTATTAATTGTATGATTCGAATATTTAATGTACATTTCTGCTATTGGTGTACATTCGTTTTATAATCATTCTTAGTTCCAGAATTCAGATTTCGGATCAGATTTCGGTTTAGAGTATTTCTGTAATGTACAAAGTCAATGGCTTTGTTTTGCTAATTTTGTGGGTTCATAATTTTAAGGATTGCTTCTACAGCGTTTATTCATAGATTTCCTGGTCTCTTTTTGTACTATAGTTGTGTTGTTTTTTTATAATATTTTGTTTGATTGTGCTATCATCCGGCTATCATCATGATGTGACAGAACCATGTTATTCACTCGATTTTGATGCAACAGATGAGATAATACTTTTTCTTATCATAATTCTAGAGTACAATCGAGTTAAAAGTAATACATAGATGATAGCTGTCTTTCTGATCCAATTATATAGAATATAGTCAGCGATTGTAGTTCAATTGGGGGCAGTTTTACAAAAATGTATTCGGATCATTTAAATTTTGTCAGTTTTAGTTACAGTAGCCGCCCACTGTAAATTAACCTCAATCTCTCGGGAAAGGGTTTGTAATATTCTCGAGGTGAGAGACGACGAAAATCCAGAAACCACTTTTAGTTACAGTTGCTGCACCACTTCTTACTGATTGGAATATATATATATTTTTGTGCCTTATTTGGAGTCTACTAAATACTGTCCTGGATTAAGATTTTGCTGCTTTATAGATATTAAAAGTCGTTTCCGTTTTAGCGTTCTACACACGTTTAAATAGTTGTTTTTGGATTTGGGTTCAAGAGGTGCGGTTCAAGAGGTGTGACCTTAAAGTCCTTAAAAAGTTTTACGAAATCACTGCCTCACAGAATATAATCAATTTGCCTTATGAGTTTGGCATATTACATACATATTATACATTATAACGTACATATTATAGGATCTTCATTTGTCTTTGCAAAATAACTGCTATGACAGATAAACTGAAAGTATGTGGGAAAGTAAATATTTTAGTTCTCTTTAATTTGCAGGATATTAGAATTCTATTGAAAGATAAATTGATTTATTATCATTATTCTATAATATACTTTATTACTGAGAATTACAATATTCAATTACTAATCATATAAGAGTTTACAATAAATTATATCTTTCTAACATTAAAGTGTTAACTTTATTTAGTAGACTTCTAGTAGAAAGCCTATACAAAAGACTTAAGTAAAAAACTTGTTTTCAGAATCCATTTTTAAATTATTTTTGAGAAGAATCTCTCTGATATATTATCCACTGTGTTATTTTGAGTTAAAATCAAAAAAAAAAATTGTTTTTTATATAAAAAATAAATTTATTAATCCAAATATTACTAAGTTTTTTTGGGCACTTTCCGTTGTTTTTCGGGTAGTAATACTACTTGCTAATTGTAGTATCCAGAATTTTGGCATTGATAACGCA